GGCATGTTCCCTCCCTCCTGGTTGATCGTTCGGGAGTTTCATAAGCTTTCTTCAGCCCGAACATCACAGCGATCGATGCCAACCGACACCGGCACACTTAGGGATCCGCAGAGTCTGCACAGCTTTGCGTAACAGACCTCAGCAACTCAGCATTTTGGCTAATTTACTTTATTTACATATAAACACACACAGAGCACTGCAACATGGCTCCCTCTCTCTTTAGTATCAGACAGCAAAGAGAAAAAGAACAAAGGACAACAGTCCCACTTCACGGAACACAGTACTGTAGCACAAACATCCTGCCTCTGTCACTTTCCACTCTGTGGAGTCAAAACATATACCATCATGTGAAAAACAAAAATCCCATGACTGCAATCATGGAGCAGGAATTCTAACAGTCCCTTCCCACTCTAAGATTCAATTATTCTTCTTTTGTACATTGAATGGAGAAGAAGGCATCTTGTCCTGCTTTGCCCCAGACAGCAAAATGTCATGGTCCAGGCCTGAGACCACACAGTTTGGACCTTCATGTGTAGCCCCTGGGAAGCATATTAGCAGTGGTGGCTGGTGTCCATTGGGGCAGGTGGGGGGCGCAGGGAAGTGGAGCCAGAGCCAATGACAGGCAGAGTCACCCAGTTCTAGTTTTGCTCCCATTCTCCTCCCTGCAGTGCCAGCTCCCAGCAAGACAGGGAAGTGGGGCTGGCTGAGGGCAGACTGGGGTTGGTGGAACACTCTTTGTTACACACTGGACAGGCAAGCACAATTCTGATCCTCTCAGAGCCAGTGTGGTGTAGTGGTTAACAGCAGTAGATTCGTAATCTGGTGAACCGGGTTCGCATCCCTGCTCTTCCACATGCAGCTGGTGGGTGACCTTGGGCTGGTCACACTTCTGGCTTCTGTGATAGCTGCGCAGCCTGCATTTGCTCCATAAGACGCACACACATTTCCCTTTACTTTTTAGGAGGGAAAAAGTGAGTCTTATAGAGTAAAAAATACGGTACATATATCCAGGAAGCTCTGCAGGCAGGCAGCTAACCAAAGATTGGCCATGTGATCCACACTGAAGGCAGATGCCCCGTGCGAGAGAGGGAATGTGTGTATGTGTGTGGTGTGGTGTTGTTGTGCGGTATTCTTCATAATTGTTAAGCCCACATCGCTCCTGCATTTTCACCTTTTTAGATGCATGCTGCCAGTCTTTTCTTTACAGCCAGGCAGGTACCCAATCTGCACCATATGGATCTTGTTTCATCTCCTGGCAGAGACAGTCGTCCACACCCTGTCTTTACATTTTTATTTTTAAAAGAAACCAATTAGCTGGTTCTTCTCGTTTTAAGTCTCAATTAACGAGACCTGATTTTTGGCTGATGGAAGGCCACAGTTCTTAACTTGAAAGGAAAATCTGACACTATAAGTAATATGTACAGCCTTCTAGAACCATCTTCTGCTGTAGACAGTGCAGAACATAGCAGTTCTATGGGGAACCTTTGGGGTTGGGAATTCCACCCTCGTTTGGCCTGGACACTCCATAAATTACATCAGCTTTACGATCCCCACCTACGCAGAGCTCTTTCCCTTGCAAGGTTTAACGTCTGCAGTTTTGCAAGGTAGATTCTCAAAAATCCCATACTCTGAAAGATACTGCCCCTGTGGCACAAAACAGGCCGAATCCATCACATACGTTTTATTTTGTTTCCCATTTTATGCAAAAATATGTGATGAGTATTTGGCCCCCTTATTGAAGGAGGGCATTTATCACACTGACTCTTCCAGGGTGTCTTATCTGCTGAACAACTGTAGTAACAACGGTGTGGAAAATGTGGCAAGCTTTTTGAGTGTCGCTATGAAATTACGTCACCATAGGTCCTAAGAACCATCTTCATACCTCATCATGTCTACACAGTTGTATCCTAAAGTATCTCCTACTATGTTTCGTTAACTGTGTTGTGTTCCTATCCATGTATACGATGCACTTTTTTATGCCAATAAAGGAGATTGATTGATACATTTAAAGGTTGAACCTACTTCGTTTTCACTTCCCAGAATGCTATGTGAACTGAAACACAGCCCTCCTTTAAAATTCACACTAAAATTAGGAGAAAACCACACTAAAACACTGAGGAATCCTTGTGAAAACTTGTTTCAGAAATGAAAAACAAATCCACAGACAGATGTGAAAATGTGGTGAACAGTGAGGCCACAGGTTCTTTGTAAGCAAAGAAATAAATCTCTTGACGTTGTTACTTCCACTGCTGTTTTGGGGTACTTGAAGTGCAGCAAGCTCAAACAACACAAAATAATTTGCCAACTCGCAGATGAACTGAACTGCGTTTTGAAATCATGACATAAAAGCACATTTATGTTGATGAGTCACCGGGTTCTTTGAGTCTTTCAGAATTCATTGAAGTCATGAGCTCAGGCTTTCCTCTGAAACCATGGTTACCTTAGAGCAAGGATATCCTACATGGTGCCCTCCAGATGTTGCTGAACTACAACTCCCATCATCCCTAACCACTAACCATGCTGCCTGGGGCTGATAGGAGTTGGAGTCCAACAACATCAGGTGGGCAACATGAGCCCCCAACAAAATGGGGAGTTGCTGGGACTCACTGGAGCTGATATATTTCACTGCCTTTCTGCATCATCCAGTCACCAGATCCCACCTTTATCTCCTTCTCCTTCCTTCCAAGTGCTGCCTAAATCGGGCTGATTCAACCTGCTGCCTGGCAGGGCTGTTCTTGCCTCTTGATAGTCCTCACAGGGCAAACGGCGAAGGGAGTGAGGCCAGCTCCAACTCTCGACTCACTACAAGCTGATGAGCATTCCACTTTATTTATTTCTCTGCAGCTTGCACATTGATGTACCGCCAGGAAAGCTATCTTTGTCCTGACAGGCAGCAAAACTAGAGCACACATCAAGGGAAATATGGAAGCATTTCTCTGCTAAATATACTGCATCCACAATAGGGGCATTCTGGGTAGGAATGCCCCTCCTCCCAGACGATGCTCCCCATTGGTTGAGATCCACTGGGCCTTGCTCAGGGACCCGGGGGCAGGAAGAAGCTGCAGGACCCCCAGGTAGGGCATGCTTGGTGGTGGCACCAGAGCTTTGGAATCCCTTGGTTTCATGATGCTTTGGCTCTTTGGTGCCTTTCGATTATAGAATATATATCACGTTGGGTACTCCTCCGACAAAACAGGCAATCCGTAAATTTTAAGAGGAGGAGGAGCAGCAGCAGCAGCGATAGCTGCTGCAGCCAGAGGGGATAGGAAATAGATCGTTTAAGTGGCGGTTAAGATGACTCACTAGCCTAGCACAATGAGATTGAAACCACCAGGTGACAAATCATTTGCTCACAAGGTTGCTAAGGTCATATCTGCACTATGCATTCAAAGAGCATGGCTTCCCCCAAAGAATCCTGGGAACTGTAGTTCACCCCTCACAGAGCTACACTTCCCAGCACCCCTTAAAAACTACAGCCCTTCTGAGCTGTCCTAGCCATCCGCCTGAATCTAAGAGAACAAGGGAGGCGGGGGCACATTAATTTTACTTCCACCTGAACCAGGGTCAACTCCCAAACCAGCTAGGGAGACAGCTTGCTGTAGTTTTTAACACCTCCACAGGCAGTGAACACGGCTGTTGTCAAGCCAGCATCTGTTCAGGGCTGCCCTGTGTCAGCCAGCCACTTACTGTAACAACTTCACGGTGAGTTCCGGCACCTATTTTTCTTGAAGCACTGGATAGACGTGTCACAAGTTCTGCATCAGGCCCCCCCGCTGTGTGTGTTGCTGCATTTGAACTGCAGCCGCACAAAATTTGGTTTCCCATAACAGAGGTTGTGACATTGTGAAGAGGCCTTCAGATCCTGCAAAGCCCTCGATGAACAGCTTAAGCTGCAATATACTGTGCCCACTTAATTGCATTTCACCAAATACTCTTCCACAGGAACATAAGAAGAGCCTAGTGGATCAGCACCCTGTTTTGTCGGTGGCCAACCAGATACCTGTGGGAAACTCGCAAGTAGGACCTGAGCACAAGAGCCCTGTAGTTTCCAGAAACTGGTATGCAGAAGAATTACAGTGGTACCTCGAGTTAAGAACTTAATTCGTTCTGGAGGTCTGTTCTTAACCTGAAACTGTTCTTAACCTGAAGCACCACTTTAGCTAATGGGGCCTCCTGCTGCCGCTGCGCCACCGCCGCACAATTTCTGTTCTCATCCTGAAGCAAAGTTCTTAACCCGAGGTAATATTTCTGGGTTAGTGGAGTCTGCAACCTGAAGCATATGTAACCTGAAGCATATGTAACCTGAGGTACCGCTGTACCGCCTCTGTCTCTGGACGCAGAGCGTAGCCACCATGATTAGTAGCATTAATAACCTTTTTCTATCAGGAAGCTGCGCTATATTGGTCCACCTAGCTCCCTAAGGCCTACACTGGCTGGCCACAGCTCTCTCTAGAAGTTTTAGATGGGGAGTTTTGTTGGGGATCAGGCCTGGGACCTTTTGCATTCAAGGTACCTGCTTTCCCCACTAGGCCTGATGTCCACCTCTTCCCAGATAGGTCCGCTTCCTATCAGTGTAGGCAGGAACCAAGTGGCGCTCCTCAATGACCAGGCTCTTGTATTCTCCCGACAGAACTGTGTCTGTGTGAAACACAAAGCTCTTCTGTCTTGTTTCGTATGGCACAAAAGCTGTCTATTAGAAGCAGTTGCAGCTTCCTATTGGTGTTCTCCTGTGGCAAATGTTTCCAGAAATGTGACAGGGTCTGATTAACAGGAGAAAGGTGCCTTTCCATCTTACAGCCTTTTTTCCATCAAAGAGAAATATATATACAGTGGTACCTCGGGTTTAAGTACAGTGGTACCTTGGGTTACATACGCTTCAGGTTACATACACTTCAGGTTACAGACTCCGCTAACCCAGAAATAGTACCTCGGGTTAAGAACTTTGCTTCAGGATAAGAACAGAAATCGTGCTCCAGCGGCGCGGCGGCAGCGGGAGGCCCCCATTAGCTAAAGTGGTGCTTCAGGTTAAGAACAGTTTCAGGTTAAGTACAGACCTCCGGAACGAATTAAGTACTTAACCCGTTCTGTACTTTATTCGTTCTGGAGGTCTGTTCTTAATCTGAAACTGTTCTTAACCTGAGGTACCACTTTAGCTAATGGGGCCTCCTGCTGCCGCTGTGCTGCTGGCATGCGATTTCTGTTCTCATCCTGAGGTAAAGTTCTTAACCAGAGGTACTATTTCTGGGTTAGCAGAGTCTGTAACCTGAAGCGTCTGTAACCTGAGGTACCACTGTGTGTGTGTGTGTGTGTGTGTGTGTTGCTAACATTCTCGACTGCATTGAAAGCCTTCCCTGCCCACCCCCTCTCTTATTTCCATATTTTAATTCCAAACCGGAATCAACATCGTACAGAATCTTTAATATTGTTAAAATCTGCACACAGAAAGAGAGAGAGAGAGAGAGAGAGAGAAGGAAACTCACCGCTGGAGCAGTTTCATAAAAAGGAACCAAGTTTTCCATCCAAGGAGGGGCTATGTACCAGCATGAATCCCCCAGGTGGCCATGCACACACATGCACACACGTGCACAGAGAGAGAATGCTTGTGCAAAGATCTGACAGGGATGGTCCCAATGTGGGATTTTGCACTCAGCTGTGCCGCTCACCAAGCAAGGCTTGTTACCATGGCAACAGGAGAACCACATGACATCCAAACTGCACAGAGAGAGAGAGATGCAGGGAAACTTAAAGGCTCAGGCAGGGTGTCAGATGGTGGTCCCAGCCATTCCGCTGCACACACAATAGGTTTTTTGCTGCGAACCGGGAGCTGATTCCCAGGCGTCAAAAACGCACACACCACGTAGAGAAGAAGGACGGATCTCACGGTTCTCTCCTTCAAAATGCAGATTTGAAAGAATGACAGGCAAAAAGGCTGAGGTGTTGCTCATGCGTGTTTTGAAGTGGGGGGGAATACACACACACACAGAGGCATGTTTTGTACCTAATGCCACGCATGTGTATCAGGAGGCCAGGAATGCATTTCCAAGTTGTCCAGAACTGTGTTGTGAAGCAAACCCACCCCAAGCAGTGGTGGATCCTAAACAATCTTTCAGACGCCAGGCTGCAATTAGCATTTGCTTGCTGTGCCAGAAGGAAACTTTAAATTTACAGTGGTACCTTGGGTTACATACGCTTCAGGTTACATACGCTTCAGGTTACAGACTCCGCTAACCCAGAAGTAGTACCTCGGGTTAAGAACTTTGCTTCAGGATGAGAACAGAAATCGTGCTCCAGCGGCGCAGCAGCAGCAGGAGGCCCCATTAGCTAAAGTGGTGCTTCAGGTTAAGAACAGTTTCAGGTTAAGAACAGACCTCCGGAACGAATTAAGTACTTAACCTGAGGTACCACTGTATCCAGTTTGCTTCCCACTCCCCCTCCCGTTTACCAGGAGTAAACAAAAGACCACCTCAGACCCCCAGCAAGATCTGTGTCTCCCTGTGTTCCCTTGAATCTCTCCGAAGGTGTGTATTAATTTGACTCCATCTTTGTTTTGGTCTGGCTCTAGCATTTGTCTGGGCACCTCCAGACTGTCAGGGTTTTGTGATCAGTATTTTGTGGGGGTGGGACTATTTGGAAATTGGGGGTCCCGCCAGCCTCATACTTCTTTTTTTTTGCAATACAATCTGCAAAATGCATTGATGCAGTATAAATGTATCAGCAGGCGGGTTTATACTGTCCACACTTGATTCCACGTTATTAGTTGTTTGACAATGCTTCCCCAATGTTGCAACATTATTGCTGTCTCTGGAGAGGCACTTGTGTGCTATAACAGAACAAAAAACCTGAGAACAACCCAGAATATTTGTAGTGTGAAAAGTTACAGGATTTCAGCCCCGAATGGAAACGAAGCTGTATGTCCATCCTGAAACATTTTCAGGCACAAACAGCTTTGAAAATGGGATCACGTATAATTACCCTGAAACCACATTAAGCACAAATCATCACAAATGTACAATAAAACTGATGTCCGAAGAAACCATTACGTTTGTACAATTAAATTAGTGGGCTCTGTCGCCCTAGTGCAACAAATCCACTTTAAAAACAAAACATACTTTTTTGCAGTTAGGTAAAGTGATGGGGAGAGGCACAGAAAAGTCTGGAATGAACAGGCGATTCACAGGAAGACACCCGGCAGCCAAATCCTGATGAAGGCAGCAGGGTGAGTACTCATTGCCATATAGCCTTTCCGCAACCAAATCAGAATAAATGCTAAATAAAAATTGGACATAATTGAACCTCCATGTAAACTTGGTGCAAACAAACCAGGACGAATGCTCAATAAACAGATCAGCTGGAGGAACCCATCTGCTTTGTGTCAGCTTTCTGAGGCGTGCAAAGTGGACCTCATTCAAAGTATATGAAGAAGTGTGCATGCACACGAAAGCTTATGCCAAGAACAAACTTAGTTGGTCTCTAAGGTGCTACTGGACAATTTTTTAATTTTTTATTATATTTCGACTGCGTCAGACCAACACGGCTACTTACCTGAATCTCACTCAAAGTGTCTTTCAGGAAAAGAAGCCTCTGATTTGGTTACAGAAAAAGGCAAGAGAGGTCCAGAGTTCTGTGCCGACCCAGTTTCTCACTTAACAGTGATCAAACATAAGTAACTCACTGCAAATCGCTTGAGTACTTACAGGAAGGAAGGAAGGAAGGAAGGAAGGAAGGAAGGAAGGAAGGAAGGAAGGAAGGAAGGAAGGAAGGAAGTCTTATCAGGAAGGCTGAAATACAGGAAACAATAAAGATGCTGACCTTTTTGTCTGACTGACAGAATGGAATATATTATCCTCTATGTCATTCTGGCACTGCCTGCTTAAAAACAACAACCACCCCACTGTATATGATTCTAAGACAATGTACACACTCCCATTTACATCCAGTGCTCTCTCGTCGCTGCTTTGAGAAGCGGTGTATGCACTTGTTGCTGTTGTTTCGTCGTTTAGTCGTGCCTGACTCTTCGTGACCCCATGGACCAGAGCACGCCAGGCACTCCTGTCTTCCATTGCCTCCCGCAGCCCGGTCAAACTCATGCTGGTAGCTTCGAGAACACTGACCAACCATCTCGTCCTCTGTGTCCCCTTCTCCTTGTGCCCTCCATCTTTCCCAACATCAGGGTCTTTTCCAGGGAGACTTCTCTTCTCATGAGGTGGCCAAAGTATTGGAGCCTCAGCTTCACGATCTGTCCTTCCTGTGAGCACTCAGGGCTGATTTCCTTAAGAATGGAGAGGTTTGATCTTCTTGCAGTCCATGGGACTCTCAAGAGTCTCCTCCAGCACAAGTTAACCTTAATCCATATCTAGCTCGCATCTACTTTTCCTGTCATTCTCTGGGTAATACTGCGTTCTGATGCAGTTTTCTCCCAAGCGGCTTTGATCTGAATTGATAAAAAAGAACAACCTAGCTGCATTTTGAGCTTGTAAAATGTACACACTCTTCGTGGGATCGCCGGGATGTGCATGTCAGCAGACAGAGGACATGCTGAGCTAGCAGGAGCTCTGAATCATTTGGTTAATTTTATTTCCCACAGTATACTAATGGTTCTCTTGTGCCACACAGCACACAGCTTGTGATTTCATGTTCTTAGTCAGGGGTTGCCAATCAGTTCAGGCTCCTGGCATTGACATATTTTGATTTTTGAGCAAGTGACAGTGGTATGGATGCCACAACCTCTCACCATTTTTCTCCCTTGGATCAGCCACCCACCCCCAAAGACAGAAACAGAGAAAACACACACACACACTTTGCTTTTCCAAGCATTTGATCCAATAAAATTTATCTGAGCCTTGAAAAGCACCATAGAACTGAAAGAGGAAATGGGAAAGAGTGTCCCTCTTCCCACTTCCTCCTTCCACCTCGTGACAAAGAGGGCAGTGAGTAGAGGAGGCTCGGAGGTTTTGTGGGTGTCATGGTAGGACCCCAAGGATGCCTTCCTGCCCATGGGTACCACATCAGGGGCCTCTGCTCTAGAGAAAGCCAAAGCAACACAAAGTGGTTGAATGAATGCCCACTGATACCAACAAGGGCTGGCTTTGGACCCCGAGAAAAGGCAGAGAGGGCTAGTGAGCGTCTCTTTGGAACAAGTGGGTCTCTTTTCACTCCTCTTCAGCCAGACTCCAGAATGAACTGATGTCAAACAAATAATCATCGACTGGAGCCAGGGCACAAAGAGGAGCATTCTTGGGAGTGTTTTCTTTGCCTTCTTGTGTCCTAAATCCATCAGGAGATAATGCTAGAGCAGAATCAGGTGGGAACTGGTACAGCTTCTTCCATTTCCTAAATCAACGATGTAGAAATGATTAAAAAAAAAAGTAGTGTTTGTGGGAGGAGGGATATTGGTTTGTTTTTTGGTTCTGGTTTTTTTGGGGGGGGTTCCTCGTTTTGTATTTTTCTGTTGTGAACTGCCCAGTGATCTTCAGATGAAGGGTGATATACAAATTTAATAAATAAAATAGGGATAGGGAACCTGTGACCCTCTAGATGTAGTTGGACTCCCAACTCCCATCAGCCTCAGCCAACATAGGCCAAGGTTGTAGGATGCTCAGAATCACAGTCCCAATAACATCTGGAGGCCAATCGGTCCTCCACCCCTGTCCTAAATAAATGTCTGAATCACAGCAGCTTATGACATGATGCTCCAGCTGTTTCAAGTAGGTTTGAAAGGAGACAAATCCCTCTGCCCTCCCCCCCCCCCCCCCCGTTGTGACATCTCTGGATCATTCCTTTCAGATACACTGTGTACCTAAAGCATTACAGCTTTCCATCTTTGTAATCCAAGCCTCCTGAGAGTTCCTAAGGGGAGCTGCCTGCCAATTTTTTCTCCTTCTCAACACAATATAATTCAGACCTGTGCTGAGACATTTGTCATACACCTACATGGTTCTTTTGTATGTGTGTGTGTGTAGAGGCGAAGGGAGCTACTCATTACCACTATCATATATACTAATGCATCTGTTGTACTGTTTCAGGGAGTGTTCCTCTACCCATTTTCTCTCCACCCACCCCCATGCTGGAATTGCTTAGCTAATACTAACCTAGGAATCTTCAGCAGCCCTCTGCTATCACACAAACATTTGCTGGAATTCAATCTGTTTACAAATTTAAGA